ACTCTTCATTTCTTTATTTTCCCAAGACAAAGATTACTCCAACAAACAAGCGGATTGAAATCAGATAACCGAAGCTATTATCACCCGTGGCTGTCATCCCTCCCTCTCTGACAGATGTCACTGCAGTTTTCAGCTCAATGTATGAATGCAAGCCAATGTCAGACCTTGGTTGCTGTAAGATGTGCTGCTGAAAAAGTACTTCAGGAGGCAATTTGCAAGGGAAGAAGGTCCTGGCATCCTTTGGAAGGGTGCAAGTGGCTTCCTCTTCCACCTGTCTTTAAACCACAGTCATGTCTGCCTGAAACTACCAGCCATTTAGACAGAGAGTGATACTTCTAAGGAAATATTATTTTTTTCACACTAGATGATAGCATGCAGTCAGCATAAATATTTTCAAAACTTTCCTTAACTTTTTATTTCTTCAAACCTCCCGAGCTTGATGTTTTTCTTCAACTCATTCAGACAGTACTCTGTACAGTCCCTACAACTGCCTGGGAAGCGTGCGCTGCACACAGAAGAGAAATCAAAGCCATATTCTTTAGTCCGCTTTTGTAGAATCCCAAATCACGCTTCCAGGCTCGATTTTAAAAATGCGATTAAAGTGTAAATTACAAAAGATAACACTACTCCCAAGGACAGAAAAATACTAAAATAAAATAAGTTTGCAAAGCTAAGGGAGAAATATCAATCACTGGCAAGAAGCAGCCTAGGATATGAATGGATTGCATGTTATTTAGAGAAACAAATAAATGCAACAGAATTAATCAGCAGATGTAAAAGAGAGAGTGTGATGCTGATACAAAATAGAAAAGACGTATGAGAGGGCACGAAACAATAACCATGTGCATCACATCATCAGCTGGTTTCTGAACAGATGGAAAGAACTGAAGAAATGCTACAAGGTATTTTGAAGAGGGTTTCAAGCTGGACATGAATTAAAGGGAAATGAATCCAATCTGTGCCTCTCTCTCGCATGTACATGCACACACACAAACCCTACTTTCACGAAGTCAGCCCCTCACCCTGGATTTCTGACCCTCGCTCTTCCTCTGCCAAGTTAGGGCTGAAATTATCCATTGAGTCTGGAAGGCCAGGGTGTGGTGGCACAGCAGAAGCATAAAAAAAGGTAAGTTTTTTTTCTGCGTTTGCATTCCTGGCAGATTCCTCACAACTCCTATGAACTAGACTGAGGACTCAGGAGAGAAAGATGTAGAAACAGTCAGGCACAGCAAATAGAATTAGGAAATATTTTGAAAATAGACTCGCAAGCCAGGACACACAATAGCCAAATTCACTTTGAGCCTCAACAATGCAAGTTCAAAGGTTTGAATTGCTCAAGAATATCCTGTGTTTAGCCAACACTGCTAATCTGGCTCATCTCTTCCTTGTCTGGCCAAGGTTTCTTCCCTTCCCTTCTCAACATACCCATCACAGATAAGTGCAACATTACAGACACTCATAAATAGAGCGAACGTGAGAGCAACATCAGCACAGCTTTGAAAGGCAGGTCATATATCTACAGTCATGATGGGTTTAAATTCTGTTTTGTTGTTCTTCCTGCTGTTTGCCAGCAATAAACAGCAATTGTGCTTTCCGACCATGTTCAGCTGGGCTCTATGCCATTTTTTGCTGTTTTTGATGGCAGAGTTCTCAAAGACATATATTAAACTATCTGGCCCATGCAATAACTCAGTAGGGCTGCACTCTTGTTTCCAAGGAGGCCCTGTAAGAAGAGGGGAAATAAATAGTTTTTTTTAGAAAGGCAGCAGTCTTCTGCATTAGTAATATTAAGTTTTCCCATGGAATTTCAACAGCATTAACAAACTATTTTGATAAAAAAACCAGCAGGTTTTGCAGATGTTTTTTTTTAGGGTTTCGACAGAGAAAAATATGCATGCTTTACACCCACTCCTCGATGCCGTAAGCTCCCTTACGGTCTGTCCTGTGACCATTCTTAAATACACTAATGTTAGAGAATTAATCTCATAACGGTAATGCGTCCACAAACAAATTACTGCAGTAACATAGTTAGCTCAATTAACTTTTCAATCTATTCACTATACAGAACTAAAGGTAATTTTCTATTAAAATATCTCCCTCCCACTTCCTTATCACCTTCTGCAACTTATGGGAGTTAATATTAGAAATCCTGTCTACGCTATGTCAGGAAGAAGACAGGATGACGAAGCCAGAAAAAGACCTTATTCTTTACTAACATAACGCAGCCATGGCCCAAAGAGGACATCTGCCTCCTTTCCTGAACACATCTAATTACGGCAAATTGTTAACACCTTGAAGTGGAGTTTCATAGCAAGGTAAACTTTAACATATGCCGTCCTCACACACAAAACATTCCGTACTTCGTATTTTTCCAAACATATGCCCTTTTTCTTAAAACAGTTTATTAAAGACCTTATTTTGAAAAGGACTTCAACCTGTTTTCCATTCCTGTGGATGCATTTTTCAGTGCTTGCAATTATTTGCCTGTCCAAATAATTCCATAGAAACATCAGACTATGTAATCTGGGAACGCAGTCAGGCGATACGACAGCAAGACCTGCAAAACTGCAAATGCAATTATCTCCCCACTCGTACCTGCAAGGCACTGCAATTCAGGTTGCAAAATCATGCCTTTAGTTTATTTGGGCACCAAAAACTGCCAGTCCACCTTGCAGCTCCTGCTATTCGTCCCCTTGAGATCCCACACTAAAGTCACAGCGAATAATTTGACACTATTATTGCCATGGCAACAGCCTGATGTCGTGCATATACAGAATTATGATTGACATTGCTGCAGTAGCCTGGAAAGAGGGAGAAAACCAGACACAGCTCTAATACTAATGGGGGAAACAGTACCACTGGCACTGTAAACATTGCTTTATTCATAAATCGGCCTTCTCTCGTATTTCACCATGTCAACGTTCCTGTGAAGGGCTCCCATCAGAGCCCAAAACGCACGCTCGGAGCAGAGGGGCTTCCTCACGCACACCCGGATTGGGCCAGAGGACGCTCCGCGGGGAGAGGACTCCTCGCCACAGCCCGGAAGATTTTTGCCCCAGAGGTTAGTCTTAAGAATGCACCTTTTAAATGTCACAGGTATGGCCTAAAATAACATAAGACATTAGACTGAGTGTTTTTTCCCTCTGAAGATAGTCTTCAGGTGTTCATCTGGGCTGTAAATCTTTTCTTTTTTTTTGCCGATGTTTATAAGCACTCACAGAAAGACACACGCAAAGCATTAGCAATAGGACAAAATAACATCTGTTAAATATTTTTTGAACTCGATGTCTGCAGCAGCTCTCATAAGGGTCTACAGGCAATACCAAGACAAGGATGGAAACAGCCTTTTATTCTAAATTTCATATGTACACGGAAAGCCATTTTACACAGTTCTGTAAATTCTGCGTAAAAGAGCCACTGTCATTCAATGTCACTGTGCTTACGCTAATAACAACTTTTAAACGTGGAGTACATTATTAACAACAAAAACCATTAACAAACAGGCATAAAAGACACAGATATGTGTGCTGATATTTCACATATACTCTAGAAACAAGTTGGCGCAAAAATAAAATGTGCCGGTAAAAAAAAATAGGCATTTTTTTTAAATCACGCAATACATGATTTTGTTTCTTGCTTTCTCTCTTTCCTTTTTGTACACGGTACTCTGAGATCCATTCTCAAGCCTCTTCACATCAGGATTTGCAGGCACTTCAGCAACCCAGCTATATTTTTTACAATACATGAAGTTCAGACCGACAAACATAAAAACAGCTGCTGCAAAAGAAATTCTCATATCCCATATGCACATTCAAATTACTCATTGCTAGAGCAATCTTTTTTGCTTTAGTTATTTTTGGATACTGACATGTTTTCAGGATGATGTGTAACAGTTTGTCTCCACTTCTCTCTCATTCATACACTTACAAGTTTTATTTTTAATGTAGTATCACGATGCAACAATACAGCATAAGGAAGCACAAGGCAAATGTCCACAAAGCTTCACAAATTGTAAAAAGAAGAAATTGTTTTCTTTTCAGTTTTTTGATCCAAAGAAAAACTTTGATTTCTTCTGCTCTTGCTTTAAGCTATCTATCTCCAAAATTTGCCCAAAGACAACTGTGTATCAGACGACCATGGGATGATACCCTCCCTAGTTCTCTTCCTAGACACAACTGTGATGACCAAATGCATCTAGAAGGTAGAGCAAAGCGGAACTCAGTTGTATGTTCGTTCATAATTTCCCATCTTTAATAAAATAGTGAAATATACTTATCTAGGGCTTGGTTGTGACTGTATAAATAGTCTCTCTCCAGTTATTTCATTTGTAGCGGACTGTGTATTAAGATTATAAGGCAATTGTAACAGGATTCTCAGGGTAACTGAAAGCTTAAAATTGTTTTCCTCTTGAGTCAGGATAAAGGCTTTTTTAATAAGCTCAGAGTGGGCAGACAGAGAGAAAAAGAGTGCATATGTGCATAATAGGAGAAGGATGGTTTTTCAGCATATAGACACTTAAATATTGATCAACAAAGACTGGTAATGACTCCACCATAAAACATCTTAGAACTGCGACTGCGATCCAGAGTAGAGATAAGCCTTATCCACTGAAGAGTAATATGTAACCCTCCTCCTGACCCGAGAGAAATAAAAAAGGACATGTCAATGCTTCCTTCAACCTCAAATTCATTAATTTTATGCCACAAAGCTGCATGTTGGTGTAATAAGTCACTGCAAAGTAAAACACATTACAACAAATCCTAGTAATAAGCCATTGACAACTATTGGTCTGGGCTATGGGACTCGGTACGCAGGGGCGGCGTTGCTCACTTCCGCTATGATTGTCAAATGGTGGAACATTCTTCCATGAATTCAACACTTGAGACAGAATGGCAAAGACATAAGGCCCACCAACGCTTTGCCTGTAATTTTTAAAGGCACTGAAACAGACAACAGATATATTCCTTAGTACCATCAGTTTAAAAAGTTTTCAAAATATAAGTCTTTATATGAAAATGTTCCTTATTGCATGGTAAGTTGATCTTCATTTTCTTCACCTCAAGAATAAAACGGTCTTCCCTTTTCTGGCGTTTGCAATCTGTTCAGCCTCGCTACCTGAGATGGTGAAGGCGGTACATCTTGCCTGAAAGGACCTTTAGGAGGGGTATAATTAGGGTCCTGAATTTTCTTATATGAGTCATAGTTGCTAGGTCCTTCAGAAGAAGTTTTTTTTTTCAATTGTTGTTCTTTCCGCCTCTGCTCTTGACGGAGCAGTTCTTGTGTTTCTAGCATTACCCTGGCATTGAAGCCATGTCCTCCCATATAGCCATTCCTCGATCCCTGGTAGCTGGAATATCTGGGATTTTCCTTCGCAGTCTGGAACCCTTCACCAGGGGAATAGCTCTGTTCCCAGGAGTCTTGCGATACAGAACTGGCGTTTTTTCTGCTTTGCCTGGAAAGAAAAATGGAAGAGGCTTTTAAGACAAATGTTCCGGTTCCCCTTCTGTTATCGGCAACAACCCCTGAAAAGAAGGGTGTTTCTGCAATGCCATCAGGTTTCCCCCAGCTATAGCATTCTCCAGAAGTCATGTTCTCTTCTGCCCTGAAGAGGCATCTTGCCTCTTTTGTTGGGCATTTCCTATAGAGTTGAACTATATTGCTGAACTGTGTTTTTAGGCCTCTCCAGTAGGAACATGCCATGACAGCCCATCCAGCGATACAACAAGCATCATGTTCTTAAGACAATAGTGTTATAATTCAGTTACAGACTGGGAAAGACCATACGCATTGCTGTGCTTCCTAAGAAACCAGATAAACAGCCAGCACTTGGAAAGTCACTCATGAAAGACTTGAAGTTAGACACACTTGGATTAAAAATGCAACAGGCAGATCTTTAAAACACTTGCTCCAACACTGCTCAAGTCAGAAGATAAAGCTCATTATTCATAGGTAGTTGCACAGATGAGAGTTTCTTCCTCCCATTTCCAGAACTAAGGAATTTTGTGCTACATCAGGACTGTTTCCCAGTTTGCTATAGCTTTCATAAAAGAAACGGCAGAGATAACCTTTCTTGCTCATTTTTTGGTTCCATGGGGTAGATAAATAAATCAAATACATATAGGAATTACAAATCCTTATCTCTTTTCACAATAAATCATCACATTATTTTGAAGACAGATTATGGTTTTGAAATAGCTTTAATTTACTATCAAGCTGCTAGATGCTTTTATGAATTTAAAATAAGATTGGTGATGATAAAGTAAACCAATTTTGTGCTGCAGCAAGAGATACCCACTTGGAGATTAAAATTAGTGTACGAGAATCAAGAGTAAAACAAAATATATTGCAACATTAATCAATAAGAAAGTAATTTAGTTGTTTATATATGGCTTGGTTTTTCATGTCAACATGCATGACTCGCTGTAGCCTCATCCAATGAATATGCAGTGGAGAGACAGGAGACCTGGAGAATTTTTCTACCATTAGTAAAACTAACAAGTCACCTAGTGTTTTTGCAGTCTTCCTTCCACACATATAACTTGAGAATTACCATAACCACCTTATTTCGTAATGGATTTTGAGACCTCTGGATGAAAATTGTTACTCAGGATGAATGTAAATTATTACAACATAATGTAAATTCTTATGCAAATTTTTAGAGCTGTTCTTGGTATTCGCATATCCAACTTCGCCAAAGAAATGGTGTTTCTGAGCCATGTTTTATCACTTCCTGGAACAAGAGCAAACTGAACGAACCTCTGTAGGCTACGAAACTGTCAGGTTTCTGATCTACAGTAAGATAAATTTTAAGTACTAGAAAATTAACTTAGAGTTAAACATAGCTTTTACAGTTTCACATGGGACAAGAGGATGACTAGCTGAACTGATTTAATTTACTGACTGTTTTCTGGTATGTTTTCAAAATTAGTTGGCCCACTTTCACTGTCTTTCTGGGAAGATCCTTTAAAATTGTCTCAAGAGTTTATGTGCCTTCAGTACTAATGATTTAAGAGTACAAAGGGGGAAAAAAAGGAGGCCCCGAGAGACTATATAAGATGAAAAGTAACAAAGTGCAAGAATGAAGCCAGTGCACAAACCTTGATCATTACAAAGCCATAGCTGCAACATTAAAGTTGGGACCTAAGTTTAGGTCTTTACTCCTAAGAGTAAGATTTTTTGAAAGATCAGTCACAGAGTTACAAACAGTTTGTAAAACTGTAGAATTGGATGTCCCAGCTCGTTATAGGAGTATCATGGTATTTACAGCACTCAGCTTTAGCCCAAGGTGCTGAAATTCTGCCTGCTCTCAGCACAGCTCAAATACCCAGAGTGCTCAAAGTCATTAAATTATCATTAATTACTCAGTAACATGCATTGCTAGCTTGCTAGTAATTTCTCATCTTGAAAAGCACATTGAGTGAGGTTCTCAGTCACTCTTTTCAAAACAAGCATTTCTATGACCCAAAGCAATATTTGCCAAATTTCTTGTAGATTAATTTTCTTCTTACAGGTATTAATTTCTGCCACTGGAACTGCATTACAACTGACTTCCAACTTTTAAATGTTACCAGTGATTGAACAGAACAGGGGAAGGAAGTTTTAAGAATCATAGTTTTAAAACTAAAAATAACCCCCCCAACTTAAAAGCAACACTAGCATCCGTGCTCTTCCACTCAATCTGTGCATTGCTGAGGCTAGCAAAACTGAAAGAGAATTTGCCAGGAAAAACAATATGGCATTAATAAGTGTGGTCACTTCAGAAGGAAGGTAGAGATAAGAAGCAAAGGGAATATAAAGATTTTCAAAATGACAAACTAACAATCTGAGAAAACACAACAACTTTACATTTTCCTTTCACACCTTCCAAATTTAACAGAAAAATTCTACCTCTGGTGTAAAGGATTCTCCGTTCAACCATTGCCACTGATATTTGAAAATGCAAAGACTATTTGCTTAATGCTTAAATATGATAGCTATCTAATTTACAATACAAGTTGGGTAAAATTCTGATAATTCTTAAAGCTAAATATCAAGTAAAAGAAATTTCGCCCTAAGAGCTAAAATCTCGCCCTGAAATCTAAAATTTTTTAAAATACAGATTTGTTTAGACAGAAAGTGTATTAATGTAAATGTATTAATTAAAATGTATTAATTGCTTGTTGTCCATTGCTAATAACTCAGTAACTTAGAAGATATGTACTTACTGGAAACTTGGAAGCCCTTGATTTTCTTTATAGAGTTTCTCAGTTCCATATTCTTTTGTTTGAGGTCTTGAGATTTTTTTTCCCTTTTAAAAGTTTTTTGTCTGTATCAACATCGCAAAGATAGAATTTCTATCCACTAAGGAATTAGGCAATGAAAAAAAATAGTCTGACATGTCAAAAGGGGACAACCCATGTCATGCTCACTAGACTTTCGTAATTGTAGAAAATTAAACTGGATGGTGTCCCACAAAGAATAGCTTTGTTTTAATGTCTCAATTCTGTTGGGTGCTGAGTGCCACCAAACCCCACTGAAATCATCTCTGAAGCAACTCTCCTAAAATAAACAGCTATCACATGCTCTCACTTAAGAAATTTTATGCCTCTTCCACATTGAATACATTCCATCTTATATCGATGCTAAACAAAAGTGTCTGCACCAAGTACAACATTTTCCTTCCACAAATGAAATTAGCTCCAGGCTCATATACACTGAACAGCTTCAGACAGTTACCGTACCTGGGTAATGAGCTGTACTGCCGCTGAGCTTGCTGGAAACTCTCTCTTTCTTCTTGCCGCTGCCGCTGCATTTGAACCTCTACTGACACGGAGTGTCTGCCACTCTGTGAGTACGTCTTGGTGCTTGGCTACAAAGTGAAAACAAAAATGTCTTAAACAAAGTAGACAAAATACCCACAAAAGGGCTATCATCTAAATTGCTGTTGTACACATATAGTTGTATTTGTTTCAACATGCGGTTCAAGTAGTTCTTTCATAATCGTTAGGTTAAATTCTGACCCATAACAGTGTCCTGTACTACAAATTCTTTTTCTGACCTCCCATTTCTGAGCTGTATCAGGAAAATATTGGTCCAGAATGGGTTGTGCTTTTATAGTAATACTGAAATTTAAATTAAGTCAGTGGAACAGATCTTCAGACACTTTAAGGTAGCCTAGCCATGGTAATGCTAAATTTTATGCCCCACTGAGGATCTGAGGGAGGAAGGAGCAGAGCAGCCTCACCAGTACGCTCAAGCAATGCTCTCCCTTACTGGAGCCATCCTATTTTGCTGTTGGTCTGGACATGCGCTGCTTGCTTTTCTGAGAGACAGAGGAACATTTTCTGGTTCAATATGATCAAGCAGATAAATCTAGCAAGTCTCTTGTGGACAGTGGGGAATCCTGTATCTCTGAGAAGGATCTTAGAAAACGACGAGGTGACAATTTGAAACTTTGAGGACAATACTCAGAGGATATGAAAATGGAAGACCTTTCTGTGAATACAGAGCATTACCTGTCAAGATCTGGCAGAATGGCTGGATTCAAACTTTGGATTATGAAAAAGTTTACTTTTGTAGAGATACCACTTTTCATTTTACATTACTACTCTCTTCAAATTTTGTGATTTCAAATTGCAAAATAGGGTGTCACAAAAGTCGAAGAATGTTATGGGCTTTTCTTGGTGTTTTAATAGTAAGGTTTCACCTAACAAAGAAACAGAACATTATTTTTTTCCCTAAAATTACCAGTTGTATTCAAAACATGTATGTCTAATCACTGGGATGTTAAGGGAGCATAACCACTTGGCTGAGCCTGGGACTGAAACAACTCATCTCAGACCTGATTTTGTTAAAGCACTTTCTACCTTTTCATCTGTGCCTTCCCTCAAAATGAACATCTCTTTTGTTTTTTGCCAATTATAATTTCTGCAGCAGAAGGATATCATAATGGCTGACAAATATCCGCAGCATAAAAGGCTTTTCAAAAGCTTATTACATTGAAGACAAGTTTGAGAAACCAAAAAGTTGTCATTTGTGATGTAAACTTCTACTTCATCTTACTATATAGTCAAGTACCTGTAAGTAGCCAGAAACACAACAAATTTGAAACAGGTGTACAACTTTCAGAAACTTCATTAGTCTCAGCTCAGCATTTAACAGATAGACACAATTTGGTGAACAACTGCCTTTCCCCTTACGAGAAGAGTATTGTGCAAAAGAATCAGAATGTGAAAGCATAGACTATGAGCAATGAAGAACTTATTTAAGAGAATCCATAATGCAACATTGGTGTCTACTTCAGAGTGGATGTACTCTGTAAAATCTTCAGTAAAACAGGATTTCTAAAGAAAAATGCTTTGGGAATGGTATGATGAAGCAACAAGTTGCGAAAACAGAATCATGTGTCAGCCTTGTGGGAAATTTTCTTAGAGATGAATAAGCTGTACATATGTATGTCCAAACCAACAACCCCCATGGAGACTTCCTACTATATTAAATAAGGGCAACACATACAGAGCCGCATTTCAGTTATTGCATATGTCAACATTTCTAACTTTCTTGACTTTATTGAGAGTCTTCTGACATTTGGTATTTTATTGAAGGGCTCAGCTTATGGAAGTGAGTGATTACTTGAAAATCACAAGATTTATTTGTGAATTCTCTCCAGTGTGGTTATAAGCAGCTTACAGAGAATCAGGGGGAAACTTAGAAGCTCCCATGGCAACTTATCTGTAAGGAATAAAAACATTTAAACTATAATTTTAGAGCCAACCTTCTCATTTCATGGGTTCCACTTGAACAATGTCGGAAAGCTACAGTTATGTCATATGTGAGAAAGTAGTTACCAAAGATAAGACACAAAATCAGAATTGTTTCTCTTTATTTGAAAACAGTTTCATTTTTTTCAGTTCACTGTAAATATAACAGATTAAAGCATTTTACAGCCCAGGGAATGGTTAAATTATCAAATAGGTGGAGTTAGATTAGAGCTGTTGCTCAGTTTAGGTTTACGCAAGACACTAAAATGCATCATAGAATCATAGAATAGTTTGGGTTGGAAAGGACCTTCAAAGGTCATCTAGTCCACCCCCCCCCAAAGAGCAGGGACACCTTCAACTAGACCAGGTTGCTCAGCGCCCCATCCAACCTGACCTGGAATGTTTCCAGGGATGGGGCATCTACCACCTCTCTGGGCAACCCATACCAGGGTTTCACCAGCCTCATCATAAAAAATTTCTTCCTTAGATCATGTCTGAATCTGTCCTCTTTTAGTTTAAAACCATTACCCCTTGTGTTATCGCTACAGGCTCTGCTAAAAAGCCTGTCCCCACCTTTCTTATAAGCCCCCTTTGAGGACTGAAAGGCTGCAAGAAGGTGTCCCTGGAGCCTTCTCTTCTTCAGGCTGAACAACCCCAACTCTCACAGCTTTTCTTCACAGGAGAGGTGTTCCACCCCTCTGATCATTTTTGTGGCCCTCCTCTGGACCATCTAGAAAGCATGAATGCAAGTACATGCACACGCATGTGCAGAGAGCTGAAGTTACCACAAAAGCCTTTACTAAAGAGACAGAGGCTTTGAAAGCCCTAGTGGACTATGAATGGACTAAGATCAAAACATAGCTTCAGAGGTATCTTTTTTAATGCACATAGGAACCAACGGCTAAATAGAGGAAGGGGCTATCACGCCTGCCCGCCTACTGTAGCGCAAGCCCCACATGACCGGATCTGAGAAGTCAAGTCTGGATTCTCAGCTATTCACAAAGAATTTCACCTAATGGATGACATTTATAATTTCACGGGTCTAAAGGCAAATGTCTAAAATCCATTATCTGATTTTCTGAAGGTATGAGTACCTGTACCCCTGTTAAATTAAGTGGACTTGCAATACTCAACTAAGCTGAAAAGGATACTTATTTTGAGCCCTGCCTGCATGTTGTTCACATCCACAATAACCTGTTCATCTGCTATCTGATTCCAAGCATCCAAAAATATGGCAATGACGTGACATAAAAATACGCCGTCTGTATGTAAACATATATACACACAGACAGATACACTCAACAATATTATTAAGGAAAAGGTCTTTCATTCAAATCTTTTCTTTAAAAACCTCAGTGATACCATAGTGAATGCCCTTGATAGACGATGGTCATATAAAGACTTAACGTATTCCTTTTTGGATCCTTAAATTGTTCAGAAGAATGCAGATCTCCATACAGTGATTTATCTTTTCAATATGCTTTCAATTAAAGTGTCTAAACCAAAAATATTTATATCATGAGTAACCTTAGTCTTCAAAAGCTAATTGGTAATTTTGGCTCAATCCCCAAAGTATATTTTTATACATATATACTTATATAAAATATATACACAAACACACATCTATATACATGCATACCTCATTTATGTCAGCACAAAATGCAGGTAATTAAAAAAAAAGTTGAACTATTTTCACATCTTTCAACAGCAACAAAAAAAGGTATAAGGAAGACACATCAGACTAATTTTAACACTGATATCAACACAAGGCTAAGTACAATTACAACAACCTGAAATCATCCAACAAACCTGGAAACAGCTCGGTCTTCTCAGTACAGATTGATAAGAACTCTGGCCTTGTTTGCAATGAGATGTGTGACAAGCACGGACCTTTTAAATCGGGATGCGGTCAAGGCCACAATAACAACCACGGCTGCATTATACAAATAAATGTATGTTCCTGTCTTCCACAATACATTTAAGTGGCAATGATAGTCATGGCATTCAGCATTGTTAAACATTCAGCACGTAAAGTTGTGCTTTGATACACATAAAATTACACAGCTCTCTTCTCAAAGAGGCATTAATTTAAAACCAGGGCTGCAAAGTTAAAAGTTTCTGCAGGTTTCTCACTTCATGCAAACAACATTTTTGCATTTCACAGGGAGTCTGCCTCCATGGCCCATGTCACACTGACCACCATCAGAGTAAAGAGCAGCGTGTTTTAGGGATAAAGGTCCATTCTCTCTTTCCTACTACACCCGTGGCTGCCCACGCAGTTTGCTTCCTTGCAGAGTGGCATTTCTGCCCACGGAGGGAAGCTCTGCGTGGTGGCAGCACGGATACTCCAGCACTGGCACAGATCAAAGTTGCCACAGAACTGGAAAGAGGAGATCATGGCGGGGATCCAGGGCACTGGGTTTTCAGGGAGATCCAACCAGTTCAGGCGACGTGAGATCCACCCGTTGAGGTGACACAGCTACCTCACAGCTTACTGTCACAGGGAGACGCTGGGAGAAGTGCCTGCTCAAACTCACAGAACTCCTTTGTGCTGATAAATCAAATGTTAATAGGGAGATTACTAAAAGAACAAGTCCCTTAGTATCTCTCCAGTTATGAAAAAAGACCATTAATTAATATTAAAATACATGTGCTAATTTTTGTCCAGATTAAACTCTGAGTTTAACCAAGAAGTTTCAACTTCACCTGGGAAGCTGGTAGACATCAGGCCCCCAAAAGGTCTGTAGTTCTTATAGTTCAGCACTAATTAGAAACAGATAAGATTAAACGACCTTGCCTGCTTTATGTGTAAATGTACTTGACACGGATGACAGACAATCCAGTAACTGTGTACATTCAGAATGATAAAAAAACATTCGGTGGCTCTGGGAGATGCCCTTGAAAACTATTTTTACTTCTATCTTTTTGTTTATGTTGCTATGGTGAACAGAACATATAGCAATATTTCTTTTAAAAATTGCCAACAGGTGAGTGTATTAATTCAAGCACCATATAGTAAGAAAATCCCATCCCTTTGTGTTTCTTTCTATGGTGTATATGTAGGAAGCTGAACGGCATGGTATGGGACTAAGATATCCATTCTGTGTATAGCAGCGGCAGAAAGAAAATCTTCTGTATAGTAGAAACAAACCACTTAGACATGAAATTCTGCCCGGGGTATTTCCATGCACTGCATGCCTGTGAGCTATAAATATGTTTGTTTACAAACGGAAATGATTTAATTTCTTTTAAAAATCTTCTATCTTCATTTTCTGTTTCACATAAATTAGTAGATTGAAACTAGTGGGAGAAAAAAGTTCAAAACATGAAATTTTAAAGTCAGAGCCTAAATCTTGGCAAGAAGTTGCAGGTGTGTCATGAAATTCTTCCCAAATTTGACACAGAATGGATATTAACGACACAACTGAAGAGAAACTACCTGTGGAGAGGCTGCCCCGCATAACTTTGGTTTCCTCTCTGAAACAGATTGGGGTAGGAGCAACAGCAATTTAGCTCCTAAGGTATTCTTTGTCTATGCAATGCTCCATTAGATATTGCCTAGTATCTTAAATAAAAAATCCTGAAAGACACTCTTGAAATGGATTCATAATAGAAAGAATTAATATACTACTTTTCTTTCTCATTAATGTGTTGAGTAATTCTACATAATTTACAGTCTGATATAAACTTTACAATGTTTGTTTTGAGTATAGTCTGTTATTCATTTTTCCAGATAAAATTAATATGTTACAGTTGAAGTTACAGCGATAAAAATCAGGCTTTTTTTTTTTCTAAAGGAATTTTAAGTTATTTAAAATTCATTATGGCTTGAAGGACTTGCATACAGGAACAAGAAAAGAGTACCATAAACAGATAAAAGATAATATTTTTCTTCTTTAAATCTGTCTTAGAGACAGATCTACACACAAAAAAGCAGCAGAAAAAACAAGCGTAGTCCCTAAATTTTCTGAGCGTTTATCCATCAGGCCATGCCCAAGTATGTTATTAGGACCACTGGAGTCTTTCCTCTGCGAAAGACATGCAGTTATTTACCTTTCACAAATTTGCGCATGTAATTAAAGCTTTACTCAGACAAGTCAGGTAGTATACTTATTTTGACCCAGTTAGTTGTTATCTTTAGAAAGAAGAAAAACTTTTTATTTGACTCCTAAATATTTAAAGTGTAGTATGCTCAGCTGCTCTCTTGATGCCAATTTTCTCCCACCCTCCAAAGAGACCTGGGGTGACTGGAGAAAAAGGTATTTCTGAATGGCATTTGCCACTTTCCATTTTTAGCACTCATTTTTTTAATTAAAGATGAAGAAATAAGCCACCAACTTTTGTACCTCCTGCATCTTTGTGGGTTTTTTTGATCGTTGCTGTGCTCCTACAGGCAGGACTGGCAAGCAATTGTAGTGTTTTCAATGGATTTAATATGCTCTTTTTTAATTGGATTGTTCACTCCCATGACATTTAGGGCTATAATGCTGTGTTTTTGTTATTGAAGGTGGGGATCTGTTAATTAGGATGTGACTAGGCAAAAATACAGGATATGGAACAAATTACAGTCAAAATCCCCAAACCCAGGACTGGTGCAAGCAAGGATAAACCTCAACAGACCCAATACTACCCAGAAAAGAACAAAAACTAGAGACTCAACTTAGGTACCGAACAGAAAAATCAGCCCCAAAAGAATACTGCATTGGTATAAAAATGTCATAGCAACAGCAAGGGCCTTAAACATTAGCAGGCATACTGTGATTCCATGCAATTCCAAATGCCCAGAAACATATTTCTGCAAATTCTGACAGGAATTAACACCAGCAGGACTAAAATGGATTAATCATATTTTATGTTATTTTTCCTTTTTTTTTTCCCCCCATGTAACATTAGGAACATGGTATTGCCCTTGAACCCCTCTGTAGCTTGTTTTTGAAACACGAAAAATAAAAGAACCAAGTAAGAAAAAAGAAAGTATGAAGCCTGAGAAAGTTATCTTAAAATAAACAAATGCAAAAACCTTCTCCATAAAGCTTCGACTCATTTGCCGAACTAGTGGATTTCAGCGACGGCTCAACGTTGCGACAGTTAGTCAGTTATTAACAGCGTGTCATTCGAATGGCCTTGAGCAGAAACGTTGCACGGCTTAATAGACGGTGTCATCTCATTCCAGCGCTATCGCTTTTTGTGTCTGTTCAGCTGCTTGATGCCGTGCGAGCACTCGTAGGCAGTCAAGTATTTTGTTTACTGGCAGGGCAAGCACAGCCGGGCAAGAAGTCCAGCTCCCTCGCATTGCTCATCCAGAGAGAAATAACCTCCACCCCATGGGCACGGCCAGAAAGGGACGGGGTCAGGCGCCGGTCTTTCGGCCATGGGTATCGCTCAGAGCCAGCAGGATGGAGCGCTCCACGGTACGGAGATCTGCCTCCAACCCGTGGAGGAGACTGATGGTATTTGTCACTGGTAACCGGACTCCTGTGTCACAGGCCGTTAATAGTCCGGGATGGATTGGAGTTGGTGACGTCCACAGGATCATTCTGATAATATGTTAGCAGGTTTCTGAGCTATTGAGCTCCTCTGAATATCCTCAGAGCTGCCAGATTTCCGTCAGTATCCATTACTTACACTGCAAACTTTGTGTTCATTTACACTTTCCTTAAAGTAACCAGTGGTCCCACATCGCATCAGCACTTTGTTCCCTATCCTCAACCCTCCCATCATCTTGTTAATGAGAAATGCAAACTACTTGTCACCTCATAGCGCACACTTCTCCGCGCATGGGTTTTTCCTCTCGTTCCATCCAAACCAGGTCGGAGTTGGCTGCTGTCACCAGGCTCAGAGGCTTCTCTGGATGTAAAGCCTTGTGTTTATGTAGGCTGCGCAACCCACCTCCCTCAGGTGAAAACACACTTTTCAACAGCGGTCCACATACAGGTGCACTTTTCACTGCTGTGGTTTGTAACCAACAGCTTACAGACGGAGAAGACTGAAAAGACGTTGATGAATGTATCTAAGTATTTTCCTGCATATGTATTATAAACCATTTTTTTGTGTCACTGGTATTTGGTAATACATCTGGACCTGTTTTGAGAGGGTGTCTTAACAAAGTCCATTATTTTAGACTAATATGTTAAAGTAAGACACACTCCTTAAGAGAGAAGGTTATGGCTCCTTAACACTGAAATGACTGTGAACTGCTGAAATGGATGAGATCATTGCTTTATCCTTTCCAAGCATTGTGATCTTGAAAGGCTGGAGTACACGATGGAAAAAAAAATAATTCAGAAATACTCTGGGCCAATTTTTTTTAAAGTACTTATCTAAAATAAAACATTTGGTCACCTATGTATTTAACAACAGAGCAGCTCCTACAAAAGCAACAATAAGCTTCAGAATTAATATTAATACATTAAGCTGAATTAGTCACTTCGAGCTCATTTGCATGATCTGTAGAAAGGGAGTAAACAGAGACATCCCATTTGTTTGAATAAGAGAAAAAGGAAAGGTCAGTGTTCTGACCCACAATTTAGGAAATTATTCCATTCCTAAGGTAATCAGCCTGTCATCCAAATAATTCCCTCCTCGCTCATTACAAGAAACTGCAATAAAAGCCAAGTTGCCTGTCTAAAGTTGCTATGGCATTTAGATATACAGCAATTTGGCCCATGACCTTCAGTAGTTAAGTTCCCAAGTCTTCAAGAGTGCAAGTTTTTCTCATACACAGTTTTCCCAAGAATGCTGCTCAAACCTCTCATTTGGAGACTAAACAGCAGTCCATACGCACAATGGAAAGTACCTCCTACACCCAGCCCCCTTTCACCCCAAAACTGCTACACTATAACTGTGATGAGCTATCACATTTTCTTCACCACAACAAATGGAAAACAACCGGTCATTAAAAAAATGTTTATTTATTCAGTTTCAGAGAAGGTTAGAGATTTTCTAACACGGGAGAAGAGAAGCCTAAATCCTGATGCAGTATGTTAAGCACTGGTAGGTCATTTAGGGATACATTCACCTCCTCTCCATGCTGCATGTCAAAAATACCACAAGTTCAAATTGGTGACTTTAAGATGGAAAAGGACACAAAGATCCAACAAAAGTAAAAAAATCTTCTACATCCACCACAATGGGCAAACAAAGATGACATATGCATTATGATGCTACCTAGGTTGTTCTCAGTGGCTTCATACACACAGATGGAGATCTTCGGTCTCCACCTTGGTCTCGTGCGCATCGTAATGCTAAGTCATAATAACCCATCACCTACACCCGCTTCGGAGGAAGCTGTGAGAGATTCTACTGCTGTCAACATACAGCTCCTGCTTTTTTGGGAATGCAAGCAAATCGTTCACTGTCTTTATTGTGAAATTTTAAACAAAAATGCAATAAAATATTTATCCCATATTTAAAGGATCCTAGTTTAGGATACGTAATTGATCAAAAAGCAACACTGATTCATTAAATTACGTAAAACAAGATAAGCACATGGATTTACATAATTGTATCACGTTGCTGTATCAGATTGAACAGGATTTAAATGATCAGTTAGGATGTATGTCTCGAGACAGAGCTGTCTTGCCTAATACAAGTGGCAAAGGCGCACTATTGTGAAGTATGCTATTACACATATCTCTCCATTTTTACTGTGAAAACACATAGTTCTTCCTCTTAAGGAAAAGAACTAATCACAGTAATATTGCTTCAGAGAAAATACCATTTACAAGGTTACATGTTGTCTCTAAATTATTTACCGTTAGTATGTGTTTTATTCTCATTTTCCTAGAAAATTTCAGAATAATTGATATTGCCTTTGAGGTAAAAAAATCCAAGTAGTAACTCACAGAGTCGAGGGTCTAAACACAGAGCAAATAACGCTACATGCACACAGGACAGATGGCTGAAGAAGTTTAGAAATTAAATAAACATCAGTGAACCAAAAATGGGGATAACAGAAAGTGCAGAAGTGTGGAGGCAGAGGACCCTGCACCCCTGCCGGTCTGCTCCCGACCAGCCCGGGGACAGCAGGCGTCAGCCAACCTTTCCAGATTTGACAGGCTCCGTACACTTACCCATGGCTGCTCAAAACTGTAAGTACGTCTCCTGTCTTCCACGTCCTCATCTTGCTTTGCTTGCTGAAACTCTTGTCTCAGGCGTTGTATCCGGTCATGATTGTTAGGGGTTGATCTGTTGCTAAAAGAGGGAGGATGGAAATGATCAATATACTTGGGAACTGCCATCTGCGACTGTAGTTTCTTAGCATGGGACTGCTACTACAGTGTGGGAGTACAGATTTAAAAATAATCTCCAAGCATTTAGTACAAAGATCTTTAATTTTTTAAAGATGATTAATGCTGTTTGACTTATAAAGAAACTTCAGAAGGTGTAACGATAAGACAAAGGGAGCTCTTCCTAAAAATCACCAAAAGTTGCCGGCATCTTTTCAGTATATGTCACTCCTAGAAATGAAAAGGAATAGATGCGCTCACATCAGACTTAACATAAAGGGAAATTAGAAGTCCTAATGATCTCTGCTACTGAATAAACATGAAAGATACTTTTTCCCAATCAATAAACTGTAGTAGTGGCAGATCTTTAGTAACACCAAATGAATTACAATGTCTGAAGGCCCTACCTATATAAAATTTGATTATTTTCCCCAATCAATAAGAGCCTGTCATCCCTTAGTTCTGTTTTTAACAAGTCTTGTAAACTGATCAGTCTGAAAGCATTAAAAGGCTTGGGGGCCAGTAAGAAGCAATACATCTGACAGTGCCGTACGCAGGAACGCGCCCGGGCAGCAGACCGGCGCTGGCTAACGCCCCGCGGACGCCGGTGGGCTGGGCAGTGCTCAGCCCCGGGGGCACCGCTACGCGCCAGCACACCCAGAACCTTGGATTCTGCAAAACCATCAATTTTTCCACGACGCCTGTCGCAGGTAATCTGCTCTCCATAACGCACGTTCATGTGAAACCATAATGAAATGTGCACAGGAATGGCTTATTTCACGGGGCAGAGAGAAAGTGGATGTTTATTAATCTCGCTGCCGTTTTTCCAGCTGTGCGGCTCACACCTGACCCTACCACCCCCACCCTATTTTAAACATGTTAATGTGCGAATCACGGGAAGCCTGACAAATAAATATGTTCTATCAAGACTAACCAGAAGCATTTTAATCTCTTATTACAGCCTTCTTAAGCCTTGCGTTTTATTGTTTATTTCAAAAGAGCTGATGAGGAATGGTCAGCTATTACTTTGCTTCAAAGGAGAATTCTGCAGGGACACAACGGAAAGCAATTCCACAGATTCCTGTTCTTGGACACAGGGTACAATAAAACACAGTGAATTTATATCCCATGTCTTCTCTCATATGAAAAGAGACAATTTTAGAGTCCGTTTGTGACTGTTTTCCATGTCTTTTGGGGCTGGTGGGTGCAGTGGATTGGAGGCCATAGGTGTTTCAGACGTTACCTCCCACACTTTTCAGTGCCATTAAATGGAGCTTATCAGTGCTTGGTTGGCCAAACAGAAAAATTAGCATGGTCCTGGCAAAGGCTAATTTTTGAAGAGGTTTGTTTTGGTTTTTTTCTTTTCTTTGAAACCAAAGGCAAGGAAAAGGAAGGAATTTAGGGAAGTGTTTTCTTTCATTTTTTTGCAAATGGGAGCTTTAAGAAATGCTTTATTTCTAGGGTAGGTCAACTTCTATGTGCAAATTGCCATTTTGAAAAGTACAGTTGAAGGAAGCTTTATGTAGAACAGGTGGAAATGAAACATTGTGGCATTTTCAAAATTTCCAATTCATTGAAGGTATGTTGCTAATTCTATTTCCTTAATTCAACTTCATTTTGTGAAACAGCTTATCTCCATTTGCAGTTTTCTGTTATGTAAATTTATTCCTTATTGTCAAATTCTGCCCAGCTTTACTATACAACCACTTGTTTTTTCCCATGCATTGCTATGCACTGCAAATTTAAATGTAATCATGACAATCCAGTACAAGACATACAAAATACTTTTAAATGGTCAGTTGATTTTTAAAACTGGTATTGTTAATCTAACAAACAAGTAGTCCAATACTTTCTACACAGACAGTGTTTTCCGTAAGATAAATTGCACTCAAATGTAGCAAAACACTTTAACTATTAGTATTTCAGGTATAAGAACATGTATTTGAAAGAGTTATGCCAATGAACTTTGGTGCAAAATGACTAGGAAAACACCATATATAGACACCTTGAAGTACTCAAGCTGATCGGTAAATAATCAGCTTTTCTTAATCAAGGTTGTTTCAAACTCTAAGGGATCACAGTGCAAAAATTACACTGGAGCAGTTATCCAGTGGCAAAGAAAAACACAAGGTAAAACCCAAACATACTGAACTAAATGCTGCGCATTATAAGGAACAGACCTCCTCTACCAGCCTCAAAAAGGGCTACTGGAAGGGTTATTACAGATCTGAGGACTTGTGCACATTTTGTGATTGTTATTCATTAAAGCAATTACGTGTTTTTACATGAATGGCAAGCAAATGCATAGTGTCCATGCCATGAAGCCAAAATACATGTCTCCTCCTGAACAGCAAATGCATGAATTTGACATCCTTTACACTGCAGAGATGGAACAACAAAGGACAACAATGATCCTGGGATTTATGATTAATTTGTCTCCAGACCTAAGAAGAACTTATTCTAATGACAATAAAAAAGAAAAAGAAAAAGAAAAGGAAAAAGTCAAGCTGATTTAAGAAAAGTTATTCGAAGTTATTAAAAGGTTTGATAATGGCAGAGAAGATAAATCTTTTAAATAATATTTCTATTTTATCTGAAAAGCAAGGGACATGACACAAATTTAGAAAATTGCAAAAGAAGTGAATTATAAAAAAGGACTATTTCACAGAAAAGAAAGTGCTAAATTAAAAGACAAAACCACTTCTGTATCTACTCAAATTTCTTTGTGCTCTGAAATTGTGAGATGCAGAAAGTGAGGTCAAGTCTGTGGTTTTATAAAAATAATAATAAAATTAAACATTTTTATTTTGAAGACGTGAAAAGGAAAAGGCAGACAGCTAAGGAGGGGCTAAGATACTTTTAAGAAATGATTATTTGAGGGCTTGGACTATATCTCACATTGGCTTCCTTTTGTTTCCGTTTTCCTCTCAACCTTGTTCTGATTCTGTAGGTTAAATTATTTAGCTGCCCTAACTTTCCCACCAGTGAAGGCTTGCACATCTCCACCCTGGTCTGCCATGCTGTCTCCCATTTCTTTTCATGCCTCTCTTCATCCAGGTGATTTTCTCATCAGTGCTTTTTTGCTATGTTTTTTTATGTCTCCCACTGCACTCCAACTGCATTCAGGGAACACTCAGTACACCCATTTGATATCTCATTCAGCCCCCAGCCAACAATTACTACTTCCAGAAGGTGGGATATGCAAAAAATCATAATCACAATAAAAAAAACTGTCACAAATACAATTTTGGAGTCAAAAGTGCAAACCTACCTTTATTCCTTTTCAGGTCCCGAGATGTTGTGTTTTATCTACAACTCTTTATGTAAGTCACATCATTATCCCTTGGGACAGATCTAAACAAATGATATCCAGTGTGAAGAGTCCTTAGCCAGTCTAAAGCAAAATGAATTTTGACTCATTGGATGAATTTATCCAAGGGAGGTAGGGTCGTATCAGCAGTTTACTAGGATGCAGGGCTGCAGGTGTTCCTGCTGCTTAAATTCCCTTTTGACTTTTGCAGATGTACGGTGCAAGTCTTCAAAAGTTTAATTAAATGCACCATGTTTTGTTTGAGTTTTTCATTCAGATGAGCTGAAAATCTGAAGGTAAATTCACCTCAAAGTATTCAAGACTACAAGCAGGAAGGAAGGAGTTTAACGTGAAATCCATCCAAAGTTTATTGAAAATTTGACCTATGCTAGTTTTAAACTTTTTAGCAAAACTGGAATTACAACTCTCTGCAGTAACCACATCTTGCCCAGACAGCCTTTCCTTATGCCAACTTAGTGACAAGATGGTTGTGAACTTAGAGAAGACAATTAGCACCTCCTAGCATCAGATGTAAGTGATGCTCTTCTTTCAAAGTGCTGTCATTATTAAATGTTCTTAAAAGAAATAAAAATCAATGAAAGTCTTTTAGGGCCAAAGCTAAGTTGGGTTGCAAGGTGGCTGGGCTTCCTTGTGTCTACTTGGCACCCCACTACCGACCATCTGCAGATGGCACATTTCACAATCAGCGATTTTGTGAGTGTTGCTTTAAAACACACAACCACTAGCACGGGCTAAAAATGTAACTGTAAGCAAGGCTTAGATAGGACAGAGCTGCCACATATTTCCAGAAACCACCAGAGTCTCAGGTCATTAAGCAATGTCTCAGTGTGATGTCATCCACTGATGTACAGAGTTGTAATCCTTTCAAAACAGACAGATTTTCAGTGGGATAAAGTAGATACAAACATGCTACTGAACAGGGATGACTAGAGCTTTGGAAAAAAAATTTGTTGGCCTGAAAAAGCATGGAAAAGGGTCTTAACAACATCACCAGGCAGTTGCAACATGACTAGAATAACCAAAAGGTTAGTAAACAAACCGTGTTCTTTACACCTGAAATCTTTCAGCACAGATTTGAGCTGCCAGGGACTCGCTGGCCTGACCGGCTGCTTAGATCTCTGGGTAGCAGTTATAAGACACAGATGGGTTCTTATTTACTTCAAGCTGGCAAATAACTATCACCTATTTGTATAAAATAAATTCCTTTCCATTTCAACAGATTACTTGTGTCATATTAAAAATCAAGAGCTGAATTTGAACCTACCTGTGTCTACAGGTAGACATGAGGAGAAAAAGTGTTTCTTTCCAACCCATTATGGATTAATGATGTCCCTGCTCTGGTGGCCATGCCTTAGTTGGCAGCAGGCGTCCTTGCCAAAGTTCAGAGCTAGCTGAGCGTCTACAAAATTGGCCCCTTACTTCAGTGGCTTGAGCAGGCTGAAAACAGCCCGACAGAAAGCAGAGTGGTGATAATCTAATATAAAAGCTTATGCTACATTTACTGAAACTCAAGCACCCTCTCGCCACGGTGCTTACTCCAAGCAGATGGATTTGTCTGTTTCAGATGGTCCTTGAGGGCGGATAAGCAGAAACTGTCAAGTCGTTGCAAAAAGACATGGATGTAAAATAACATGAAAATATGCCCTTAAAGTTAGCACCATGCTCTACTGCACAGTCTGCT